ACAATGCTTGCAAACCACTACAATGTTTTGTGGCTGGACCCTCAGGAGATGAATTACCCCGAGAGGATGGGACTCAGAAGGGGCGGATCTCATCTGGAGTGAGATCACCTGCCCATCTTGGAGAGCTCCTCACTGCCACAAGTGTGCAAGGGGTAACTAATTTCAAGTATGGCCACATGAGAAAAACAAAGACATGTTCTGTCCCCTCCCCGTCATTTTTTTTTCTTTGAGATCAGGATCGTTAGGTGTAATAGGTGAGTAGCAGGAAAAGACAGCCCCACATTAAAACCCATGCCGTCTCCTCCTCTCCACCACAGGCACAATGCACTGGCCCCAATTAGAGGTAGAGGGGGAGAAAGACAGGATCCCTGAGCTTAGAGCAGAAAGGGCCTCGAGAGATGGCGCGGGGAGGCCTCCAGGCACCATGGAGCAAATTCCCCTTTCCCTTTAATAGCTGGTGATGGCGGCAAGCTCCTGATCCTCTCAATTTCCACACCCATTCCCAACAGAGCTGACGGTAAGTCCTGCCCCACACGGGGACTGCTAGGGCTGCGCGGTATAGCATGTCCGTCTGTGGGTACTATCACCGCCGTGGGTACTATTACCATCACAGAGGGCAACTGTGCTGGGGCTTCGGACTGTATTCATTCACAGTCTCACTTCTGCAAGCATGCGCAGTCCCTCCGTCCCCATAAGGGAGCACTCCTAAAGAAGCCACCACATTTAGGTCTCAAGAGGGCTCTCTTGAATTGGAGCAAGAGATGAGTAAGTCCAGGATAGGGACTCCCAGACTGAGCGGGGCCCTTCCCCGCGCGTCACTCCACTCTCCTCCCTGTCTTCAGGGTTCAGTCCTCTCTGTATCTGGCTACCAAGAACCAGCAGAGCAATCCCAAATCACCCTGTTGTCTCTGTCCCGAACACCTGGCCTAGGACTGCTTCATTGTGGGGGCCACTAAAGCCCCATGATGGGAAACACAGGTCGGAGTGGCTCCCTGGGGTGGCTGCCCTGGAAGGGGGCCACAGCAGCTGGACTCCTCTCAGTGGCCTATTATTTTCAGTGGCCCTTGGCCACGTGACCTTAGGCCATGATCCTGTCAGTTCTCATAAACGATCCAGGAGCGGAATGAGTCACACTCAGGGAGGAAACCTCTCAGGGGAGGCTGCAAGTGGCTGTGGCCGGAAGGACAGTGAGGCGGGGATCCCAAAGGCCATGGGAGTCTCAGCACCCCCAGGCCCTCCCCACGTCTGAGCAGCTTTGACCTCCCACGAAGGGAGGAGGAGGAGGAGGTGTGGCCCTGGCAGGCAGGCAGGCAGGCTGGCAGGCTGGGTTAGTCTTCTGAGTAGGGTTTAAGGTCTCAGCCCATGGGGCACATTGCCCCTCATGCCTGCAGCTCAGAGAGATTGCTTGTCTCTACCATTCCCTGAACTCTCGGCTACTGACACTCACAGCCCCATTTTTCGGATCCCCACGTACATCTTCATCAGATAAATCAGACAACGAACGCCCCCCTCCCCAGGCACATGAGCCCACATCTATGGCCGGGTCTGAAGGTCACATGGGAGGTGCTGAAATGCTGCCCTGAGTCTCCCTCGCCCTTGATCCCTTGGTGAGGGTGAGGACGTTTTGGGGGGATGCTGCACGACGTGTTTACATCACGCCAAACACGTGGGCTGACACGGAAAATGAAGTGCCGGTGAGATCTCCGTAGTCCCTATCTCCCGGACTTGAGTGTTGCATACACAAAATGCTGGGCTTCTCTGCCTACACTTCGTAGTGTAAATCATCTTTGTCTAGAGTTCTGTGTCTCCACAGCTTTGGATCATGAGTGGCCCTGAGTTGTGCGACAAGCTAATGCATCGTCAGAGAGATATTTCCGAGTAAAATATGCACACGTAAATAAACCCCTTCCCTGTGTTGTGCGTTTTAATCACGTTCTGGACGCTCATCGGATTCGGCCCCGGGGAGAGGGGACGATGAATGAGTGTCCGTGGGTCCTGCACATATATTTATGCGTACACAAACACTCAGAGCACAGCGTGCTATTTTAAGAGTCTGAACTCTATCTTTCAAGAAAGTTTAGCTGCTTTCCTTTTGCAAATGCATTTAATTTTATCTGGAAACTTTTTGACGTTAGAAATAGAACAACTGTAGTTTCTCATTATGTTTGCTGCCAGAATCCATGCTTGGTTGCTCAACTAAAGACCTTATATTGCTAATTACTACCACATGCCCATATCCCAAGCGAAAGAAAACTTATTGATTCTGACAGCCCATTCTCTCAACACTGAATTCCAAATGAAAACTCAAATTTTGGCCAAACATAACATTTCATCAATCTTGTTCTACTGACTGGAAAAACAACATCAAACAAAGGGTGCTAATGGCCCTTTATTACCGCTCCTTTCCCAAGCTTATATTTTCTGATGAAAGATCTAAGTGACCAAAGGACTGCTTTAAACTACTTAGTAATTAGCTTTTGAACTGGGGAACCATGCGGAAAGTAGAGCGAACAGTCCCCGTGTTGATGACAGGACGGCCTCTCTGTCCCCAGGGTTGGGGGACATTGGAGACCCAGTAAGAACATGAAAAGCAAAGTGCATTTTCATAAAGAAAGATGAAGGGAAAAAAAGGAGGGAAGAAAGAGGGAGAAGGCCGGGCTGAAAGCGGTGAAGAAAGATTACAGAGCCAGAAAACCACGGCAGGAAGCCTGCGATGGCAGGCTCAGCAGGCGGGGTGGGGTGGGCAGAAACGCCACGGCAGAAAGATGACCAGAGCCGACCGGGGGACAGTGAGCGAGTGCTGGAATGGCAGCCTCATCCGGCCCATCGTCGACAAAAGCTGCCCACATCAGGGGGCGAAACTGTCCTAGACAAAATAAATAAATAAGCCAACAACCTGGAATGTGAGTCAAGAAGTATTTTCAATCTGGACTTGAGGGCAATTGATTTCACTGACTTCTTCAGGGACAGCGATAAGGGAATGCTGGCCGAGCCCGGGGCCCTGAGAAATGCCTTCTGCTTTATGGAGACCTGTCCACACCTTAAAGGCAAAATGAATTGAGGAGCTATTTGCCTCTTGGCATGGGATAAATGACCAAAGGGAATCTCTGGACTTATTCGGCCTGTTGGATCCAACCAATGGCCCAGAAATCACAACAGCTTGGTTCTAACCTCATCCAGGGCTGTTAAGGTAATAGACAGAGGAGGGATTCATTAGAAGGAAGATGGAGGGATGTGTTGTGGCCACTGACAAGACGCCAACTGGCCACCTCTCGCCCACAGTCCTCTGTGCCTTTGAACGGAAACGGGTGTCTTGTGGGTAGTTGAAGAAAATGAGCCTGTTTTCCCACCTCCTCATTTTCTGAATGGAGGATTGGACACCTGAGCTCGGGGTACACTGGAGTCACTGAGCAGAGGGGGGCCCACGTCCTCCAGCACGGCCAACTGTCAAGGCCAGAGGAGACCCGATGCTGCCAGTCGAATTTTATTTTAAAGTGTTAAAAAAAATAAGTAAAAAAATCAAGAGCTTATTTGAAAATAAATGAGAAGGGGAAAAAAACCCACAGCTTGGTGACAGCAACTTCTATGACTGGTATGAGTGATGGAAATTTTCTGTATCCGGATTGGGATGGAGGGATGGGAGACACTGGGTACCTGCAAAGTCCCTGAGCTGTGCATTGAAAATGTGCACCTTGCACAGTCTATAAGTTGTATTTCAGAAACAAAACAGGGGCCAGTTCTGTGGCCTAGCAGGTAAAGCCGGCACCTGCAGTGCCAGCATCCCATATGGGGCACCTGTTCAAGACCTGACTGTTCCACTTCCGATCCAGCTCTCTGCTATGGCCTGGGAAAGCAGTAGAAGATGGCCCAAGTCCTTGGGCCCCCACACCCACGTGAGAGACCTGGAAGAAGCTCCTGGCTCCTGGCTTTGGATCAGCCCAGCTCCAGCAATTGCAGTCCAGCGGATGGAAGAATTCTCTCTCTCTCTCTCCCTCTGCCTCTGTCTCTGTCTCTCTGTTAACTCTGCCTTTCAAATAAATCTTTATAAAAAAAAAAAAAGAACAACAAAGCTGAGTGCCCAAAGAAAATCTTTGGGAACGTAAATGAAGGATGGGGTCACTCCATGTGCTCTCGGGAGAGAAACTTCCGGTCCACACTGGACCCACACACTGATATGGATGCTGATACTGTTCAAGTGAGCCGAGCAGGAAACAGAAGGCACGCGTGTGTGGGAAGCCAGACTGAGACGCGTCGAGGACAGCAGGCGGTGCCACAGACCTTCCCTAGACACAGCCATCCCTGCCCCAGGGACTCCAGCAAGAAGTGAGTCCCTTTGAAGACAGGCTCAGTGAAAAGGAGAACTGACTCCCTGGCGGCCACGAGGCCTTGACCGCAGACAGGATGGACAACGACCTGGATCTCGCCCCCCCGCCCTGGACTCTGTAGCTACAGCTATAGCCCGCATTGCTGCCGCACAAAACCCACCATCGCACGGCACCACCTTAGCTGGAGGGACCAGGATTTCATCACAGAGCCATCTGATGTGCAGAGTGCAGGAGCTCCGTACGCCCAGCAGCATACGGAGCTCTGCCGGGATAAATCCACTGCGTCTCTTGGAAACTGAATGGTGACAAGGCCCAGGGAGTCGGTCCCAGCGGGGCAGCTTCTGGGGTAAGCTCTGGCGTGGCCCCCATGCAGACCCTGGGCCTTCCCTCCGAGGAGCGGGGTGGGGGAGGGGCAGGACTCAAAGTCACTGCCCAGGGGCTCTCGGAAGTCACTCAACACATCTCTTCTTGATGCAACTGACTTACTTTCTGCCTCCATGTTTGTTAAAAGTCCCGCCGAATTTATTCCGATTCAGGATGAGAGCAGCAATTTCGGGCACGTAGCGGGCAAACATTGCCTACATGCATGAGACAAAGAAACAAGAGCCAAAAAAAAAACTGGCATGCAGAGGGGTTCTCCCGCAGGCAGGGCGGCCGGCCCCGCGGCGTACTTACTTTCTTCCACTAACGGCGCTATAGGAGCCCCCGTATTTCTTGCGGTTTCCTATTAGCTCTATGATTTCAGGGACGTAGCTGGCAAACATGGCCTGAGGAAAAGACAGGAGACAGAAGAGAGACTGAACCGACAGGCCCAAGAGAGGGGCGTCTCTCCAGAAGTGGATACTAAGATCTGAAAACACAAGAGGACCAGACCTCGGAAGGCATCCCTTCACATGTTGGGTTATAAAAAATAAAAGCACAAAAAAAAAAATAAAAATAAAAAAGGGTGACATCCTGGAAATACACGGGGCAAAACAACTTTAGCCAATGCAGACGACTAAAAAAAAAATTAAAAATCACAATCGAGAAAAATACAAGGGATGGATACGTGGACATCTACCTCTTCTTTCTGAAGATAAATAAGCAAAAAAGGGTGCATGCTGGTGAAATTAAACACGCACACAGGCACACACACGCACATGCGCGCATCCACACTGACATATTTTTGCAAAAAGATCTTTCTAGTTAAAATCAAAGGAGCACCAATGTCTCTGTCTGGGATTAAAGCCAATTAACACCAAAAGAAGACTAAAAAATAAATTATTTTCATTGTAAAAAAAAATCACTAAAAAGCACAAAAGGTAAGTCACACAGGAGGAAAGGGTAGCAGGGAAAAAACACAAATCTGCCATGTTTTGTCCAACAAACATCGTGCTTGTGGCTGGGTAAGGGGACGTCCTGGTCTGGGGCCCTCCTGCCGGCTGCAGAAACACTGGTATGGATGCACGCACGCAGGGCACATTTATACACAGTTCCCACACACGTGTGCTCCATGCATACCTAACAGGGAGACGTGTATGCATCGTGAGATATAAATGTGCACGCGGTGTCCATACGTGACAGCTGTGTGGGAAGTGGGATGTTATCACTTACCTCACACACAGCAAAAATCTGAACTTAGAACCAGCCAGTAGGGAAAACAAAAGGCTGCAACCCCAAGGAGCTGCCCAAGTCCCCAAGGACAGCACCACGGTGGACGCTTGATTGCTGCCCAAGGAGCTGCGCGGCCCAGAAAAGCAAGAAGTGAAATATTCGGACTTGCAAAAGGAGAGGAAAGATCCCCTCTGTGGGGGCTGCAGAGCCACGCACTGCTCGCTGGGGACAGAAGCTCCTGCGTCCACCAGGGGGCGGGGAGGACCCTGTTCCTCGGGGCAGGCGCCAGCCACAGTGTTTGTTGGAAGTTGGGGGAGGAACATCTTGGGGAGAGGGAGCTCCTGAAACCGCAAACCATCTACGCCCTGTGGACAGTGCCCGCGAGGGTTAAGGGACAGCCAGTGTCCTCGCAGGACATCGGGGGCTGAATTCCATGACTGTGGGGAGCCAGCCGGGCTTATTACCACATCCCTTCCCTACAACAAGTTCACCAGCTGTCCCTGAAAGAGGCAACACACCTGGGTCTTCAGGCTGCGCCTAACACCCCAGGGGAGTGGGCAGGGAAGTCACCCTTGTGTTTCTACTTCCTGAACCTGACTGCGACGCCCGGGCAGCCGCTAGCTTCCGGTGCAGAAACAGTGTATGAAGAGCTATGGAAATGGACAACAGAAAATACCCGCGGCCGTAAGAACCAAGGCGATAGTAAAGGGCTTTTACCAGTCCCCCGAGGATGAAGAAGACCATGAAGAGGCGCCCAAGCGTGGTTTTGGCATAAACGTCCCCGTAACCAACTGTGGACATGGTGACCATGAGTAAATAGACACATTCCCAGTACGTGAGAGCCTGGTTGTTCTGGAAATTTTCCCATGGGTCCCCTGAATTCTCCACCTAAAGCGGGGGGCAGGGGGGAGGAGAAAAGAGAAAATGGTTACATCTCTGCATCGGCCTCTGTATGCAAAGCATGGGGAAGCCCAGCTGCAGTGGGCTCCTGGCGGGCGCTCCCCACCCTGCCCTGAGCTCTGGGAGCCACAGCGTGGAAGCCCTGAGCAGGTGGAGAGGGTGCTCTCCTGGCTGACAGAGGCACAGGGACCGAGGGAGTGATCCCTCATCGGTGGCTCTTCCCACTGCTAATGGTTCGAAGCCCGCTGAAAGTTAACTTTCTCCCTTCCCTGACTTCTCTCTGTGGGGCCCTGTGAAGTCTCAGGGGGCCTCGCTCTCTCCTCCTGCCCAAGTCCAGGAGCCTCCTCTAGGGGGCGCCCCCTTTCATGCTCTTGGCACAGGAGCTGCGGGGGGAGGGGAGGCCTGTTCTTTAGATCTCCAGTCCAGACCCCAAAGAGCATTTCCGGCCTCAGATCCTGCTGCTTCTCCTTGGTAGCGAGCCAACAGCAGGTCCACCCTTCAGGCCACAGGAACCTCCCCGGGAGTGCAGTGAGCTCAGGAGTGCAAGGCGCTCCAGACCAAGGGCTCGCAGTCTCTCGCTGTGAAGGGCGGGAGAACACAGGCTTTCCCCGCTGTGGGCCCTCCAGTCCCCAGTCTGCCCCAGCTACTCAGCTCTGCAGTTGCGTGGGACACCAGCAGGAGGCAGCACTTCCGTGAACGGGCATGGCTGGGTTGGAGCGCTTGGGCTCCAGCTGCAGGTTGTCCACCTCTGCTTTAGCCTTCACAGAACTATTTCCTGCCCTCCCAACACATCTGATTTGCCCACAGGTTGTGAAATGGGCAGAAGCAGTTTAGATACTCCCAGGTTGCAGGGAGTGACCGGGCCAGTTCTATCCAGATTCCCTCCCAACACTGAAAAGCCAATGCCTGCGATCCCCTGCATGGCCCATAGGGGACCCCCAAGCCTCCAGCTCTGCTTCTCATTCCCAGGATTGGGACTGCTTCCCAAGTCCAAGTTTGCCCTCGGCACATACTGTTTCCCGGGGTTTCCTGGGGAGCCAGAGGGCACGGCACAGAATAAAGGGGGTGCGGTCATGAGCTGCCTGAAGACCACCATCTCCTGCACATCTGTGGTGCTTGGTGACAGCAAGAATTAGGGAGTTCAAGAGTGACTCCGGCCAAGAATTCCATTAGCATAAAGGCTTGGGTGGGGACCCCCAGATCTGGGGACTGAAAGCGAGTCCCTGGCTCCCTTCCCCAGGCCTGTGCTCCTCTGGGTAACAATGACGTCAACCCCACGTGGTGGGTAGCTGTGTGTGCAAACAGCCACTGAGGAAGGAAAGGCCACCTTCACCTAAAGCCTCATCGTCGGTTGGATGAGGCTGTTGCAGTTCACATAGCTGGGCTCTGTTAGCCTCAGGGAGGTGAGACAGGCTTGACCTGCTAAGGCAAGGCTTTGGAACGGTGGAGGTACAGCATAATGTGCGGTGATCAGACAAAAGAGTCAAATGTAACTTTCTGTAAGGGAGAAGTGGAGAGAAACTGGGGAATCTGAATTAGTTGTTTACTAAGACAAGCGGGTGGAACTTCAACCTTGTCCCCAGAGCGTTGCTGGGCGTTTGCTGAGGAAGCACTGCCATCTTGTGGCTCTCTTGGGTCATTGCAGATAGAATAAAAAATCGACCAAAGCACACACTGCACAACTGAACTACAGAACACAGCCAGGTTAACATTGTGGCCGCGACTCCTCATTTGGAAGTAGCCTGGGGTCAAAGGGCTGCAAACCCAGACCGTTGAGCAGTTGTTTCCCCTTTTCCTGTCTACCACTGGGCTGGAGTTTCTTTCTAGCAAGAGACATTTCTGGTAACAAAATGACTCATAAAGCGGCTTGTTCCAGGCGAGCCAGGATACTTACCAAGTGGATGAACCCGGCCGCAGTTAGCCACGTGCTGATAAAGATGGACAGCAGATTCACCAGCTTGATGGAATTACTGTGCAAAGAGACAACAAGCCCAATGGTCAGGTCATAGCAGGAAGGCTCTGTTGGGGCTGCCTGGGAGAGGAACAGCGCCCCCTTGTGGAGAGAGGCGGGCCCCCTCCAGCTGCCGACCTTGTCTCCATTGTAAGGGAATTCTCCCTAGACAAGACAAGGTAATTGGGTCAGGCTTGAAGACCCAGACAGAGCCCGCAGGAAGATCACACCTGGGCCACCCAACGAGGTAAACCCTCTCATTTTGTTACAACTGTTTTAAATGTTAACTTTCATTTTGAAACTTGTCAAATCTGCCAGAAACTGGAGAGAATGGTACATGGAACACTGTGCCCCTCCCTGTATTGCTTTATCTTCAAATCATTTTTCTCTTATTTTCTTTTTTCAAAAACATGCTTTGGTTGTGCATTTCTAGATAAGCTGTAGACATTGAGACACACTCCTAAACACTTCAGCACTCAACTCCTAAGAAGGAGACCGTGTGCTTCACTCAACACCATTGTGACAGCTGAGAACTGAGCTGACGTCAGGAACGTTACCCCACGTGCTGCCCTCATGCAGCCGCCCCCAGCTGCCCCCAGATCATGGCTCAATGATGCTTCCTTTGCATTTCCCACCAGGTCCAGGCACTAGTCAAAGCTCACGCGCTGCTTTTGCTGCCAGAAGGCTTTTACCCTCTCCCTGTACACACTCACTCACTGTTTCTGGCTTTTCAGGTCATTTGTTCTCTGCTGTGACTCTTAACTCGGCCTCCACGGCATAAACGCAGCCTTGGATCACAGGTAGAGGAACGCATGTGGCTGTGTTCCAATAAAACTTTATTTACAAAGGAAGACTGGATTCCCCCATGGGTTGGAGTGTGTCGGCTTGCTCTGGTTTGTTTTTGAAGACATTGAATTTTGCGTGACCCTACACCGCCTCACAGAATGCCCCATGTCCTGGAGTCACTATCAGTGAGCTTTCAGAATTACATTCTATTTAAATACCTGTGGGGATGGCACCACCCTGGGAAACCCCACCTCAGCGAGGCCAGGTCCACTCACCTGGCCAAGGAGGGAATGTCAGGGCTCTCCACTAAAAGTGGCCATTTCCCCACGGTAGTTAATACGCCATCTTTGGGTGAGACCCCAAGACTACCTGAGTAGCCGGTTGTCCCACAACCTCCTACCTAATAGCTTTCGCATCCACTGGTGCTGCTCCAGTAGAACAAACATTAGCCTCCATGACACCTACGGCCTTGTCTGTCTGCATCCCAGGAGCCCACACTCCCTTATGCCTAGCAGAGCCTCTATGAATCTGTTCTGAGAGACCTGGTGTCCCCCTCCTTGCTACTCCTACTAAACTGCATGCTGTCCACTCCTGCTGGGACACAGCTCCTTGGCACTGGGGGCAGTGGGACACTGATTTTCACAGGCTTCCCGTTGACCCTGTCAAGTCCTGGACCCTCCCACCACTGCATCCACGGAAACTCTTAGAACTGTGTCAGTCACAGGCAAACCTATTTCCTGTAGCTCTGTCGATGCGGTCACTCAAACCGAAAGCTGTCCCATCTATCTAAATATCTGCTACCTATCTAAATATCCGTGCCTGGTGTGGTCTCTACCTCTTCCTTAAAGCCTTCATGCCCACCTGCAATACAAAGTGACCTCTCTAACCTCACTCTGACCTGCATTCCTTACCCCTGTGAAGTTACAGAACCCAGTATGGCTCCTGTGGTCCCTGCTGCACCTGGCAGAGAGTCTACTATCTAGCCCTCCCCCAGCAGTGGCCCAGGACAGCCTACAGGGTTGCTCAGCTCCCTACCCCTGGTCACTGCATATCCGTCACCCTCTCCCAGCTCTCTCAGGGAACCCGTGATTTCAATACTACGAGTTGGTGCAGCTGTTATAGAGCAGCGAGTTAAGCCACTGCTTGGGACACCCGCATCCCACACTGGAGTGGCAGCTCTGGTCCCAGCCCCTACACCTCCCATCCAGCGTCCTGCTACTGTAGCCTGGGAGGCAGCGAGCATGGCCCAAGTGTTTGGTTTGCTGCCACCTAGGTGGGAAACCCGGCTGGCGGTCTGTGCTCCTGACTTCAGCTTGGCCCAGCCATGGCTGTTGCAGCCATCTGGGAGTGAACCAACAGACGGAAAATCTGTCTCTCTGCTCTTCAGGAAGATTGAAATAAATACAAATTTGAAAAATAAAGTCTAAGAGTTTGAAAGCACGGAGCCCTGCAGACCACACACGCTACCTTTCTAAGTGCTGTAGGTACACGCACTCATTTAGTCCTCATGACTGTTGGAGCTCCTGCCAATATAAACAAAGCAGCGACTTCACCCAGGCAGGGGTGGGGGGACTAGCAGGTAAACCCAGGCAGTCTGGCCATAGAGGGACACTCTGAGCCACAACAGGTGCACTACAGGCACTGGCAGGTGCCCGGACAACGTCTGCCTGGATTGCTGAAGCCAAGCCCCACCCCACTCCTCGTACAGGGGAGGAAAAGGTCAAGGGTGCTGCCTCAGGGAGGAGAGAGGCTGTCCTTTTCAACTGCCACCCACTCTGCTGACTTCTATCCCAGGGGCCACCGTGGGAGCAGGAGTGCAGGAGGGGGCTGTGGTCCCTGAGCAGGGACCCTGAGCAGGCACTTGAAGGAGGAATCTCTGCATGGAGGTCAAGGTCACTGGCTGTAGGCCAGGCTGGCCACTGAGTCCAGCCTTCCTTTCCCTTTGACGGAACTGAACACAGGAAGCAGTCTGTGGGCTTCCTCTACCCAGAGTTGACTCTGACAGCCGGGAAAGAACTGGCAGATCCACATTCAGTTCTGTGGGTGAGCTGCTCGTTTGAGACATGTAGAATAACTGCCTCCTGGTTGAGTCAGGCAGAAGAACCACAGACACGTCCTGTCTTGCAGAGCTGTCAGAGCACGGTAGTTGCCAACACGCACACAGACCTTATTCCGTGCCAGGCACTGTGATGAACTCTCCAGATTCTCACCATTCGCCCTTTAGACACATACTGCCATTGTTCTCACCAACAAGATCAAGCAGCTGAGGCTGAATGAGCCTCGTAGCTTGGCCAGGGCCATGTGACTGGCAAGTGCTGGGTTGATATTCACCCCAAGGCCCAAGGAGCCAAGGCCTGCTCACACAGGTAACTGGAGATACAGTGAGGGGAAGCCACAGGGACCTTTCCTGCTGTCCCAATATCTCTTCCCTAACAACAGCCCTCTGCATAGCCTCTGACCTGGACAGGTGTCACTCAAGGACCCCCACACCTTCCTCTGACCACAGTGCCCTGATCCAGGCTGGCAGGGAAGGCGCTCCCAGCTGTGGAAAGCTACAAGGTAGGGCCCATCAGAGACACCTTTCAGGGAACTGAGGGGAACAGGAAGTCTCTTCTGCGATGTGGCTGTGAAAATGCAAGCCTAGAGCTCCACACGGAGAGGGCCATCTGCCTTGGAGAACGCCTCTGTGAGAATGAGCCCCAGACGGGGATGCTGCAGGGCAGAGTCTGAACTCCCGGATCAGTCGTGCCTGGAGTCAGCCAGGTCCCTCCTGGACCCCCTATCATTACCACGGCCAGCTCCAGGTCGGCTCTGGCCCCCGCCATTAAGACTCATCTGCCTACCAAAGAAGGGGGAGGTACCCAAAAGGGTTCTTTGAGAATGTAATAACTGATCAAGTCTTCAAAAGGGGCCCAGGGGGTCTCCATCCCCGACAGGACGGCACCTCCTGTGCTACCACCCCCTCTTGTGTCTGATGGCACAATTATTCTTGTGGCTCTAGAAGCTGAGGTGCACAGTTGGCACTCATAAGAGCAACTACAGGTCTGTTAAAGCCTGATCTTCATCCCTGGTCCGCTAGACACCACCATGGGCCATGCTACCCCGTCCTCACCTCCAGGTGGCTTTTACAGCTGTGAATGATGGAGACCACCAACTGTTTTCCATGGGAGCCTCTCCTAGTGCTGAGAGATCCACATAGCTCTCGCTTGTCTGCTCCCAAGCAGCCAGGAGTCTGAGCGCCCTTGTTCCCAGCTTCCAGAGTCTTCTCTCTCTGGAAGGACACCCTCCTCCACCAGAGATTAGCAAGAGGAAATAAGGCAAACAGATACAAGGCAGCCCCCCAATGAGCCCTATCAGGGTAAGCGACATGGGGAATCAAGAAGGAGAACTTTGGGGCCAGCACTGTGGCGTAGTAGGCAAAGCCTCTGCCTGAGATGCTGGCATCCCCCATGGGCACCAGTTCCTGTCTCAGCTGCTCTTCTTCTGATCCAGCTCTCTGCTATGGCCTGGGAGGGCAGTGGAAGATGTCCAACAGCGTGGGCTCCTCCACTCACGTGGGAGACCTGGAAGAGGCTCCTGGCTTCAGATTGGCTCAGCTCCGGAAACCGTGGGCATGTGGGGAGTGAACCACTGGATGGAAGACCTTTTTGCCTCTCAAACAAATAAATTTTTTTTAAAAAAAAAAGAAGCTGAACTTTGCCTGACTACCTCACCACCACATCCTTTTCTCAACACGTTTCTCAGTGGAAAACCAAAACGGAACAGGTCCCTCCCCTGCTCCGCCTTGTAAGTTCTCCAATGTGTTTCGAACACTGGAGAGGAAGAAATGGATGGAGGACTGAGAGCTGGAGACCAAGGCTCAGGAGACCATCAGATAGCGAGCTGATTCACTTACACAATCCCAGGTCCTTGAGCCCTGAACGAGCCAGGGTGCCCCCAACAACCCTGTGGAGTCCTCCTGAGATACAAAACCCACTGGAGGCTCCAAGTCTCTCGGTGCTCTGGAAAAATGACCTAAATGTGGTGATTATTAAACTCTAACTGCCTGTCACTGTGATATTAATGGTGCTTAAGGGAGCTCTTGCTGTGTGTGGCGCATTTAATCACTGCTGCTGAAACAGTCCGTGTTCCGTCCTGGAATCTGATTACTTTTATAACATCAACATTATCACAGATCCCCAGTATTAGGAATTTGCTTTCCAAATTAAACCCCAGGTCTAAGCAATCATGTGA